CATTGAGAACAACACCTTTCAAATGAACCAACGCCCCTCGCAATTAGTACAGTGGTTGATTCACAATTTCATTCTATTTTTCAAATTAAATATTAAGATATTTCTCCGTTCAGTTTCAAAATCGATGTACTCTCAGCTAGTTTAAACCTCAATATCGGCACGCTCTTCAACTTTTTTGTGTGGAAACTGCGTGATTATTTATCCATGCATTTATTTTCTCATTTTTTCTTCTTTCTTTTCTCATTTGATCGTTCGGAGCATAAATCATCACATTTCATAATCTTCAAATCATAGACGCATTCATAAGCGCAAAAACGTGCGGATAGTAATGCTGATTGTCAGTCAGTTTGTTTTGGCGCCTTTTCAACTCTCTTAGCCTGTTTACTTCAAGGACTTCAAATTTCAGATTCACTTACAGTTGCATTCAAGCGTTGACGTCACTCATTTCATATTTTAACTGAGCAAGTATTGTTCTAATATACGTTCTTATTTACGAGGCACGCAATTGACTCTTCTTTCTTAAGCTCACAACTTCAGTCTTAGTTCGTCACATTTTCGAGTTATAAAGCTGAACGTATTTATTGTAAAAAGAATTAAATGGACAATAATTTGCGATTCGGAACTAAAATTTCTGACTCATCCATGTTCCTTCATGTCCTTCCTCATCTTCATGTCCTCCGCTGGCACAAATATGAATCGTGCGGTTTGCAAGTTATTTTATGGGACACTTGAGAGTGTTCTCAATCAAAATTTCACTCATACTCCGATTTCATCTCAGCGTCTATGACAATGGTTAAATGCGAATTTTCCACCCCGAAAGATGTCCGTATTGCATGCACGAAAAATTGAAGGCGTTTCGGCTGCACTCCCCTTATTACAAATGGGCGTAGCGCATTATTCCGTCATTGGACAGTAGAATGCTCCGATGAGCAGAGATCTAAGTTTTCTATATGACTTTTTTAAAAGTCACTTAACTTGATCGGAAACGCGAAATATGCCCTCTGTCTATAGTGGCCGAATTTTTTAGTAGCGTAATTTTCGGAGAGTTTGATGGAAGCATTGCATATTGAGCTTTGACGGCAGAATATAGCCAAAGAATACAGTGTTCCTTCTTCGCTACGTATCAAAATCTCTGCTGATGTCTAACATTTAAAGGCATGTTAGTATATATGATGATTTTTTAAATCGTTTGCAGTATGACAGTGTAAAAAGAAGAAAAGTTCGGTGAAATTTTCATGAAATACTGTTCACGGTTAACCTTTGTAAGAAAAAATGGCGACAAAAGCTATGAAGTTGAAAATCAAGAGACTAATTTTTGACTCTCAGCATTAATTTGAATTGAAACTTGCAACTTGGCTTCATTTACAGCGTCCGAAAGTTTTCACGCCGTTGCGGATATTGTGAGGTCAGGATCTTGCCCTCTAATTTTCCATTCCTTTGTAAAACTTTAGTTGGAAGGTTAGTTAAATCCGAAATCTTACTCCGAGCTCTCAAAATGCGTCCAAAGTTCAGGTTACAGTGGCCGCATAAGAGAAAGTTTTGGAGAGTCTACCACCTCAATTAAGTAGAAACGTATAATTTGAATATTATAAACTGTCTCAAGCGTAAAGTTACTACAGTCCGAGATATATATCAATATTTGAAATATATTAATTTGCTCCCATTTCAAGTTTTGGGCAAGTACGTCATTTGTTTCACCTTTTCTTGCACCAATTTTTAATTTTTGATCTTTTAATTTTTTTGTTTAATTTTATGTTCTTTTAAGTTTCCCAATGACACCCAATTTTTATCTTGGTCCAATCACCAAAAGTGCCAAAAAGTGGTGGTGCAACATATGTACCACAACGAAGCAAGGGCTCCCTCATATATGTTGCAGAACGAGATTTTTAAAAATTGTCAAAAATAATAAAACAAGCCAGTTTAGATGTTTTTTCCTGATAAATCATAAGAAATATCCGTCAATAAATAATAATCAATCCGTAAATATGCGTCATTCTGTCAGTCATAATGCCGAAAGCGGTATATTATACGAAAATTTTCATTTTTTTGGTCGTTTTTTACCTGAGAAACGTAGAAACGTCAAGATTTGTCTTCAAAATTTGACGCCAAAATACCAAAAAGAAACAGTGTTGATGGTCTTCACCCAGTCAAAACTTAATTTATTGCTTTTCCTTTCATATTTTTCCAGGAACTTGTGAGCAAATTGAAAACAATTATGAGCTTTTTAACCAATTATGCCGCTGGTTAAAATAAAAATGCGTATCATAGATAGCAACGTTGTAAGTATCCGATCATTACTTACTATTTTAAAAGGAAAACAAACTAACATTGTCTACTGAAATTTCCAGTGAGTTTCTTTCACTCTTTCTAAAAAATAACATTCAAATTCACAAGCAAAAACTTATTTGGTTGGTTTTCCTTGAAGATAATAAATAATCGAAGATTTGCTAACTTTGTAATTAAAGTGCGAGTCTTTGCATTTATCCATCGATATGTTACAAGTCCTGTAACTTATTGCCTTTATTTATTTATTTTCCCAAAACACCGAATATAGTTCTTATTTAATGAAATTGCCGCGCGCCTTTCGAGACAACTAAACATCGGTAAGTTGAGGCACATGAAAAAAGCCTTCCATTCTGCGTGATACCACACCACACACAGAGGCCCGATATGTTGCGTGCTTTCGTTAATATAGGTTTGTAAGGACAGCAATGAAGGAGAAAAATAGCGTTGAACTAAGGAATTATCAACCAGTGGCGAAACATCTTGAAATTCTCATATTATAATACGTACGTACAAGCACATTTCGAAATTAAAGATTAAAGAACGCAGCTGAAAAAATAACTGCCACTCTGTTTTTCTTTGAAAATGACTTTGAAAATCACATCACCCCCATGAACTTTAAAATCATTTTGTCCTAGTCATTTTAAAATATTTCTTGATACGATTCTTTGTATAGATTCAGTGTATGTCTTCAAGGAATGATTCATGACTGAGTGATTATTTTTGGGAAGGGGGGGAGGCGCTTTAAGAGTTTAAAATCATCAATAATGGGACTGCATATTGCAATTTGGAAATATAAATTCTGGCTCATCTGAAAAAACACTTATGTGCATAGGGAAACTAATGGCACATACGTTGTTTTTAAACCGGGCCATAATTTATAGTTCCAAATTTCTAAATGCGGTCCAATTTGAAGTATGCCGGGATGAATCACCACTTAAGTCCTTTCGTTCATAAAACTCCATATTTTCCAGGGCTCATCTGGAAATTACGATACAACTTTTCGTGAGAGAAGTTTTCTGCTAATAGACTAAGTAAAGTTGTATTTCAACCTGGTAATTGAATTCGAATTTAAACACGTTTTTTCTTACAACAATGTTTTTTCAACATCCAGTACCAAAAGACTAAAGCTCTGGTTTGTTTTGACATGGTTAGGTGTTGTATCGCACTAGGGAGTGTTATAATGCAACCTTTATGCATATATGTTGTTTTGACAATCTTTGGTGTATGTGTCTCTAATTAGGTCAAAACTCAGTTTTGCTTTAGAATTAATACCTCACTTTGAAGTTTTTCTTTTTTTTAAAAAATCAAGGTTCCTTTTACCGTAAACGTTCCCAAGAAGATTATCATAGGAAAAATAAATCAACCCAACACTAAACGCATCAATGGAAAATGAGTAAAGCAATTTTACCTTTTTAAATAACAATAATTATTAACACTTTGCTTTTAACACTCTTGTCATGCGCACATTTTCACACTAGAAAAAAAAACAAAAAAAAAACACACATTGGATCTAGAGTCCAGACTCTTGAAAACACTGACAAGAAAAAATACTCTTGATTCAATCAAATTTTTGCTAAGATCAAAAGGAAATCCGCTCAAATTAAGAGGCTTGGTTCTTGATTTGAGCAAGAATCCGATTGAATCAAGAGTTTTTTTTCTTGTCGATGTTTTTAAGAGTCTGGACTCCAGATCCAATAGTGAAACTTAAGAAGAAATGAATAATGTGATAGTTTTCCTTAAACCATACATACCCTCCTCCTTTGATCATTGAATTATCACAAGATTGAGTCATCAGTGAAAATTTTTACCTACAAATTAAGCCTGTTTATACCGACGCATTAAGAAAACCTAGCTACGAGACGGTAAGTTAAGACAGATAAAAAGTGCCTTCGATTCCGCCCGATACCACACTAGATGCAGGAGCCCTTTATGGTGGGTGTTATCGGCTGTCGCTCGCATTGAAATCGATCTCAGGAAAGCAACGGAAGAAAATCAGCGCAAAACAAAGGAGATCATCATCTATCAGTGACAAAAACTCTTACAATTTTTTAAAATAAATGGACTATAAAAAAAATGCGGAAGCCATATAAAAATCTGGTAGACACAAAAAAGAGACAAACTTGTTAGAAAAATTGGTCAGTGTATACAAGCAGTTTAATATTAGAACTTTTTAAAAACTTCCCCCTTATTTTTATTTTTTAATTTTCATGAAAGGAGCGAGAATAAATATCCAGGAACATACGTAAAGTCCCCTGAAAAATTCAAATTTTAATTCAATCAGCCAATAATTTTAGTGTGTTTATTTTATATCAGAGAAAATTTGGCAATGTTTGGAAATTCTCATGACGATTTTTCAGTATGAAATTAATACGTTTAACGAAATGGCAACCTTAAGACCAGAGTTGCATCAGTGATGACGCTTGTATTTGAGTAAGATAAACCATCGAGCGATGCAATCATTGTTAGGGCGTAGATTATCTACCGATTCCTCATACGTAGAACTATCGTCAGATAAGTTAGCAGCTGTTTATTTTTTTCCGTTTGCAAGTGACTACGTTGCCGTCGTCCAATGGGGATTGAGGATTGACCGCGAACGACGACTCTGTCATGCGCAGACACGTAAATTGGTCTACTCCGCGTCACGGTCAAAAGTAAACAACTGCCAACTTATCTAACGCAGGTTCTAGTTTATTTTGCTTTCGCACTCGAAGTAATGAACATTTTTGTCATTTGAAGAGGTTGAAGATGGCTGTACTCCCACCATTCCTCTTCAAAAATGCTCGCTCCTTATCTTTCTTAATTTTACGTCACGGCAGGGCAATGTGGAGTGGGCTTTTTTTTGACAGTCTGCTCTTCAAAGTGATGTCGACCTCTAAAATTAAAAATCTGTATCAATTGTAGTGAATCGTTAATGATTCTAAACAATGTAGGAGTGATACCTCTCTTGTAATGGTGCGGACGTCAGGTTTAATTTTTGGAATGTCAGTCCGATCCTAAGTTGTGGCAATGCCATGCCGCTCGTGCATTTGTGAGTGGTGGGACGATGCAAACGTAACGGAAACAGATTGAATGCTCATATTATATGAGGTAAGCAATTTTATAACAAGTCATACTTAAGAGTGTATGCTCAAGTACAACCACTACTTTAAAAAAAGCGTATGTACTTTGAAAATTAAATAGTTGATGAGTTGTGTCATGGTTATTTGCATAAAAGGATAAAAAATTAAGAATTCTCGGGCTTCACATTGCCGCCTTATTTTCTTTTTCCTCGACTACGTCATAATTTCGTCACATCAAGTTTATTGGAAGCTTTTTTGCATTTTGTTTTTTGCTAGGATTAGTATCTCATAATATTAGCAGTCGTTAAATATTGGCACTTCATAATTATTTCCATAAAAAAGGTTCGAGAGAAAAACATTCTTTAATCTCATCACTAAGTGCAGATAGAGAAATTAGACACCGCCAGATACCATCTCGCCCGACAACAAACGCGGTATAGATGACAACGTGTGGATACAACTTTATGTGTTCAGGGGATGTCCACGTTGCATACACGGAAAATTGCAGGCGTTCTTGCTTTTCCTAATTCAGCTGCGATAAGTACGGCGTCGCACGCTGCCTGTGTCGTATTCGGTACATTCTTACTATTGCCTCTTACTTCTGCCACACTTTTTGAGTGATTCTAAGGTGTTATCTTCAATTTTTTTTCAGGAACAAGATCATCATTTAAACATGGCTTCGTCTCTGAAACTTTTGTTGGTTTTCATAATTTTCCTGGCTTCTTGTGCGAATGCATTTAAGATTTTAATCTTGTATCCTACGCCTTCATACAGTCATCAAATTTCAGTCATGAACATTGCTGAGGGGCTTGTCAAGAAAGGTCATGAGGTCTTCTTCGTCAGTCCAAATCCCATACCAGTGAGTCCCATTTACGTAGCTTTCAACATTTTCTTCTGCATTGAGAAGTAATATCACTATTCCCAACGAGCTTCATTTTAGCCGAGAAAAAACATTTAAAGCATGATGTTTTGGACTCCATATTCTATTTTTAATTATGATTGACAAATATGGAGGTTATACAATGCAGTGAGTAACTCTCTACTCCTTTCTGCCCTACAAAGAAGAGCACGGTGGGAAGGCATAACAGCCTTACAAAGAAAATGAACTTTAAATGTGTTTCGATTACATGGCGTTTTATCGACCGGTTTTATGTTTATCTTCGATTTTCACATGTATTTATTTCAATTTTTGCCTAATGTTGACACAATACCAATCCCAATTCAACTCGCAGATTAAAAGTTAAAATTACCAAGATTCAAAGTAAAAAATTAGTCTTTTCTGGCAGGGCAGAATTCATAAGTGTTATTTTTTTACGTCAATTATCGGCTTTGATGGGTACATAATAAGTCACATACAATGAATACTTTGTAATTATCAACGTCCAGTTGCCAATCCTAATTACATATACAATTTTCTGCAAATAGGTATACATTTAAATATCTAAAAATAAAACAAAATGAACCTAAAATAACATTTTATTAGGTGGCTTTATTTCAAACCGGTGTCATCAGCATCTTCAAATGAGATATCTCTATGCAGTCGGTGGGTGAATAATACAGTCAAGAGTTCAGCGTTAAATCATTAAACGCTAAGTGCAGATATTTGATGCTACTTAGCTTTTTAAACGTTTTTCAGGGTCTGGGAGAGAATTATACATTTGTGGATCTATCGTTTTCTTACAAGTACTTTAAAAAAGAGGACAATGACGAGGCTGTTAATTTAGAGCAGCAGATTTCAAGATGGGACTTCGTGAAAGTTTTTGTGCCCTTTGCAGCCGTACCAGAAAAACAATTCATAAGCCAGCCTTTTGTGGAATTTCAGAGGTAAGTCTTATTGAGGACACGATTTCGTCCCAATTCGTCGAGGGGTTGAGGATGGGAGACAAATGGAGACACCACTATACAACTGGGATTCAATTATGTATTACGTGACGTCAACAGACCGTACAGAACGTCAGAGGAGATAAATTTAGAGCAGTAACCATCCATTTTGGTACTGTATAAATTACACTAGGTACGTTCAAACTGAAGTAAATCCACGTTATTCTGAGGCAATGACAATTTTTTTAAGAAAAACTAAAGACGTAAAAATAAATATCTGGAGAACATATTCTCAAAAGAAAACTCTAGCATAAAATGACTGGGCTTTTGTCTGTATTTTATGAACTGATTTACATATTAAAATAGTTATTGATCCAAACATTTATTTCATACCCATGTTTTTTTTAGATGTTTAACATTACCCAGTTGCAAGTGCCACAATAATGTACTTTGTCAATCGCAGCTCTGTAAGCTTTAAAAAAAAAAAAAAAAGTCATGAGAGCCGTCAAAATACTTAGGTTCTACGTCTAATATTAACAAAGGGCCCTCCTTTGAAGTGAACGACAGTGACGTCGATCTTACTAAAATATTTTCAAAATAATAGCAGGTTTTCTACAACTTGCCTTTGTAATTCTCGAAATGTTTCTACTTTTTTTCAAAAAACTTTCCCAAGAATATTTTTAACTATTCTAATAATATTTATTCGAATTCATTTTGAGATAACTTTGAAGCACTTCGATAAACTTTTCCTAAATGTTCTTTCCGCAATATTTTGGACGGACTTTTTTTTTCCAAATTTCGACATTATTTTCAAAACTCTTCGTTCTATCTAGGATTGAATCGGTTACTGTTAGAGGGGCGTAAGCTCAAAAATTCATGAGCCTTGGCTCTCGTTGATCACGCAGGACGCTAGGGCTTATGAGTTCTTGGACTTCCACTCGCCTAACAGAAACCAATTAAATTCCAGGCGGGTAGCCGCGGAGCAGATCAAGTTCGACGTGGCCATCATAGAATTCGTGGGCATCCCCTACACCTGCGGTATGACGCGACTTCTGGGCAGGCTGACCAACAGCACCATCCCCTTGATCTCCATGTCCTCCGTAGCGAGCGACTTCTACGCAGAGCGAAATCTAGGCAGCTTCCATCATCTGTCTTACGTGCCCACTATCTTCGACGGTTATTCGAACAAGATGTCCCTCTGGCAGAAGATCGACAACTGGTTCCTGTTTCACTGGACTGTGCTCCAGATGGAGGCGGCTCTCACAGAAAAGGCAAAGGGATTTTATAGGGATACCTATGGAGAGGAAAGCGGACGCCTGGTGGACGGATGTTTCAGGAATTTGAGTTTGTCAATGATATCGTCCAATGCGTTGTACTTCTATCCGAGGTTACTTGGCCCGAATGTCATCGAGATTGGGCCTGTGCATTTGAAGACACCAGAAAAACTACCAGAGGTAATAATATTATAATTTAAATGGACGGTAAGATCCTTAGAATTTTACAAACATGAAATAAAATAAAATTAATTTTGTTAAATTGGGGAGATTCAAAAGAAACCGGATAATTATTTAAAACAACGAACTGCATTTTGATCAAATTAAACTATTCAAACGTGAAATCACGTATATGGATTTGCATTATGCAAAGAAGAACCAAGAAAATTCCAATGTTGCTAGGATTGTGCAACTTACATTGCGTACAATAAAATCACTGAAATTATGAAAAAATTCAATTTACAAAGGTAATTTTCGGCTTGAATTTATGGTCTATTGGGAGTAAGGATAAAACTTATTTAGGTGATCAGTTTATTTCTGCAATGTGAAAAAAGCTGCGCAATCTTAGCTACATTGGAATGCTCGTGGTTCCTTTTCACGAAATGCAAGCCAATATTATATAGGTAAGGGATAACTATCTAGAACTATGCGCTAGGTTACGATGTAGAATTTAACGCAGAAGTTCCGGAACTTATTTTTACCATGGACCCCTTTGACGAATCATCTGGACAGTGTCGTGCAGTGGCCTAGCATCCATGGAAGCAAGGAAAGCACTGCTCCCGTTTATTTTTTCAATAGATATAATGTAAACGTATTTTTTATCCGAATGCTAATAATTTAAAAGATAGCTCACAAGAAAGAGTTAAGTCAAATTTTTTATTTGCTTTTTTAGTCAAAATTTTGTCTTTTTTCGAAAAAAAAAAAAAATCACAATTTTATTATTTCGCCAAAAACAGTCCCCAAGAGCACCATGTATAGGATGAAGCTTTGGAGCTCACGTCTTCTTCTTCATGTGTAAAGTTAATTGATGTCCTAAGGTGAACGGTACGGTACCCAAGAGTGCAAAACTCCGAAAGCAAAAATCCGCGAGAAATACATGGCCCAATAACGAGAGCAAAGGGAGAGTGTTGCGATACTAACCACATAAGTGCAAATGCCTGAATAAAGGAAAAGTCAAGAGAAAAAATAGTGCTCGTTTTTTTTTAAAGTCTTGACTAAGATTGTATGCTTAACTTCAGGTCGGCATCGATAATTGTTTTTTGAATATTTTGTACTTAAACGTCAAAAATGTTTTACGAAAAGAGGGAAAAATCCAAACAAAGGAACGACTCGAAAGGAAACTATACATACCTTGTTCGGATATCTAAATTTTCTGTGACTTTGAGGACCGGCAACGTAATACATTTCAACAACCAAATAATTTGTAGGGAAATTGACAATATCACAATTAAAATCAGTAATATCTTACTCCTCAGGCACAATAGGCGACGCTGCAATTAAGTCGAGGTGTAAGAGAAACAAAAACTCGCCCTGATATAATTTTAAATACGACGAACACTCAACGAATTGCATCATAACGCCTTGATGCAACTATTCGAGCTCCATGGATGTTCGTGTTGCCTTCGCACGGGTGTGAAGGCGTTTTGGATCTCTACTCATGACCGCTTCACCCGCGGCGCGGCGTGGACTGTTTTGCAAGGATCCAACATGACGTAATTCGATAATAACAACATCCCTTCTTTTAAATCCTCTATTGAGATTGTCATTGAACCGTTTATACAAACTATTCTTCGATTCATTCTGGATTCCATTTTAAATTTTTCAATACCATCTTTCAATCCATTTACTTACCATTCGAAATTTTGCAACGGTTTGAATAAACTTCACAATCACTTTGTTTGCAGAATCTACAAAATTGGATGGACGGAGCAGAGAAAGGTGTGATTTACTTCAGTCTCGGAAGTAACATGAAAAGCAAATCTCTTCCTGCAGTTGTGCTCGATAATTTTCTGAGGTTTTTTAAACAACTTCCGTCAGGCTACCGAGTCCTGTGGAAATGGGAAAAAGATGGTAATATACCAGGCCAGTCTGATAATATATTGAGCCAAAAATGGTTACCACAACATAGCGTTCTGGGTAAGTATAGCAACTCACAACAGTCATTTGTAAATAATAGACTAAGAGCCCGATGAAATTTCATAGAGTACACAGAGTCGTAATGTAAGTGGGAGAGCTGGCGCCATGTTCTACTCGACGAGTTTCGAGCCCGGCGTGTGGGGTCACTTTTTCGATACATATTCGATTCAAAATGGCGGTGTGGAATATGGCCGGGTCCCCGTGTATCGCAAACAATCGATTACGTCGAAAAAGGGACGCGGCGCCGCACAGGAGTCTCGGTATTCGGGACCTGGAAATTGCTTAAAAGTGGCGCGAGCTTTCCCACTTGCATTACGACTCTATGTACTCCATGTGAAATTTTGATTGATAAACTCTAACATAAGTATTCACCACTGAAATCGAATACTTTGAGAGGCCACTCAAAGTTTTGAATTTTTTGTCTTATTTTTATCGGCATACTTCTACCCATTGCATTACGCGTATAGTCAACAAATGACGCAATATCAATCAATTTCACTTAATTAAATAATTTGTAAATTATCTGCCATTTCTTTGACTTCATAAAAAATCAAATTCTGCTGTAAGCAGTAATGAAGAAACCATGTCTCTTCCAACTTGCTTAAAGCTTTGCCATAACTCAGAGTGCTCGCCGCAAAATAATAATGTGTCTGACTTTGGAACACACTCAAGTTCAACTTCATAATCGCCAGAAAATTTGCATGCGAGTCTTGAAACAATTATAAACTAATGAGAGTTAGTGGGTATGCGTGAGCACCGACAACTTAATGATTGATTAGAGGGCTATAATTTATGGCTGTCATAATGTGTATTATCATCCAATTCGATTATCGTTGAGAGCACAGATTACGCTCGCATAATGAAATCCACGAATGATTTTTTTGCGGATCAGACTGTAAATTGGACGTATTTCTATCAAACGGAACTATGTGCATTATGACGGGAGCCCTGTTATGCATGTATTCTTATGGGTCGATGGGCTCATGACTTGATGCACCTAGTTCCGTTTGATAGAGACACGTCCAATTAAAGTTCTAGGCTCGTCTCATGCAACATTTTATTTTTGTTAAGAATGCATTTGCCTCCAATTCTAAATTTTTATAAATCCGCTCTTAAAAGACGAATTTTGTACTTCGTTGACTTTATTGAGAACCTAAAACTTGCAAAAACATCCTCCTATGACTTTATGTTGAAAAAACCCACTAAACTACAAAAAAACCACTGTTGATATATCAATCATCAAGTGCGCCTGCTATATAATTTCAACGTTTTCCGGTTACTTTGGGGCCATTCAAGTATTGCATACGGTTTTTTTTTACTTTCTTCCCTCATTTGCAAGGCACCCGTGATAAAACCTCTCAACCCCCTCCCCTCGTTTAAATTACATAAGATCGACCTGCTCCCACTTTCCCCCATTTTTTCAGAGAGTAACGGAGGGGTCTCCCTTTCGTAAGGTCCTGTAAGATATGTTCAATCCCCCCCCCCCCNCCTATTTTAATAACTCACGTTAATTTGAACGGCCTCTTTATTGCTTTTCCATTTAATGAGTTTTCTTTAGGGAATACCGTAAAAGTACCGGGAATGGTACAGAGATAATTATTCAAAGACAGCATAATGACAAAAAAAGTCTCAACGACTATTGTAAATACCAAATGCAAATCGTTAATTTAACCGTATTTCTCCCGCAAGTTTACATAAGATAACTTTCAGCTTCATTTGCTTCGTTTTATTTCCAGCGCATCCTAAAATGAAAGTTTTTATCACTCAAGGAGGCTTGCAGAGTTTTCAAGAGGCAGTTCACTACGGGGTTCCTACGGTAGGCATACCATGGTACGGGGACCAGAATACTGTCGTCGCGAAAATCTTGGATGCCCAAGTAGGCGTGCGCATTCTCCCGAAGGAGCTGACGTCATATAGCAAGATTGAATCCGGGATTAATGCTGTGCTATTTGATCGAAGGTGAGCCGAAGGAGGAGATCTTTAATCGCTTCGATATACTTTAAAAAAAAAAAAAAAAAAAAAAAAAAAAAAAAAAAAACTATTTATAGAGAAAGACATTAGCGTAATTTGATACTCAAAAATCACATTAAATTCTTTTTAAATAGTCTGAGCACATGAATAATATTTGATATCATAGTAAGGTTGGCAGTAATTTATTGCGGCTGGTGATAACCATTGAAAGGTGGCAATGACCCCCCTCCAATCAAAATCCATCAAAATTCAAATCAAAACGCCGCCATTTTTGGGTCTTACGGCCTTTATGGAAAGTTGTTGAGGTTTAATGAAATTGAGAATATAACGCAAGATTTTGCAAACCTGTATCAGTTCATGTATTATATTACTTATGACGTATGGTCAACTGAGCCTGAGACTCAGCGATAAGATGAAGCTCCCTGTCTAGTTCAAAATTTCTCCTGTACTCAGTCCTCTTCAGCACTTGTACGCACGATGTCATAAACTAAGCCTTATTATCATCGATATATACTCTGTACTATCTAACGAGGTGTTATTTTTTAATAATCCATAATACCTTAACAAAAGTGAAGGGGTGAGATGTTGATACTACCTCTATCAAGTTATTGTAATAAGTACTTTCATCTTTCATTATGTAATATTTTGTGACTTCGATTTATTTTTATTTGATTTTGTCCGTTTGCTGAGTTAGTGACGGGGTGGGGGTCAAATCAATAGATAATCTCCAAAATTGCAGTAAATGTTATTTGAGCAGCATTTTTTACAACGTTGGTCGTCGTTGGAGTGCTAGTTTAATATTACTCAAACTTCATGAGTCTCAAATTTTGAAGGAGCTGTTAATAAATCGATGATGAAGTGCCACGATCAATGATTACAAAAAGGGGGTGCGATTATTGACATTAAAGTATACAATTAGAATTGAATTGAGAATAAAGAGAGAAAACTACCAGCATAAACCGTCTTGTTGAAGCTTTGCTATGATTTCTGCATCTTTTGATGCTTTCAGGTATTCAGAAAATATGAAAAAACTTTCACTTATATCTCATGACTTCACCTCTAAGTCCATGGAAAACGCTGTCTTTTGGATAGAACACGTGGCAAGGCATGGTGGGGCACCTCACCTCAGGCCGTCAACAGCCGATTCTTCCTATTTTGAATTTTTATGTCTTGATATTTTATCTGTGATTCTAGTCATTATTACTCTAGTTTTGTATCTTTTGTATTTTATCTGTAAATTTACAATTGCGCTGGTGTCAAATTACTTCAGTTCTAAAGAAAAAAAGTCGTGATTTTATTTTTGGAATTTTAAAAACTACAAATATAAAATAAAAATACTGTAAACCTGAAAACAACTGCAATGTTTGATGCAAACAACCATAAAAAAGCAGCCGATTATATTTTTGTAAAGATATTTTCAACAAGATTGTCATTTTAAATTGGTACCACATAGAACCTGCATATTTCTTCAACAATTTTCCATCTCAAGGTTCTTTCCAACTACGTCCACAAAGCAAGGGTTCTTTTTTGTAAACCAGGAGAGAAAATTAGCGTCGTGAAGACCATGCATCCAAAATTTCGCAGTATCCGAACGGAATGGTTCTGTATAGCTCGGAGATACTGCCGCATCCCCGGTTGGAATCTTACTTTTTACAAAAGTCAGGAGGTGTCTTCTGACTTTTTAACAACTGTCAGAGTGTGTTACCAGAAAAACTCTTTTCTCGTTAATTTCATTCTAGTACCGAAGTCGATGAATTGCGAAGTTAAAAGCAGAAAAAATGGTGAGGGGTAATATCCTAAAATTGTGATAATATCTCAACTTGTTGGATCACATGGACATTTACAATGAATTTTGGTAGTACCGCAACTCTAGTTGGGATAGTACCGCAACATGCGAGCTAGTCACCTAAATAGGGGTGCCACCACAATTAACTGAAAATGTCCAAATTGGAACTTAACCCCTACCTTTTTTTCCGTAAATGTGAAGTCAAGCTATTTTTTCCAAATTGGCAATATCGTACTTCGCCCATTTAAATACATATTAAATAATCGATGCATATAGAAACAGGTTTTGTTACTAGGACCGATTATTTATAATGTTCATAAACGGAGGAATAACAGTGTTGCCAACTTGCGAGAATCGCATGTGCTCTTGATAAGTCTAAATTTCACGGATCGCGGTAAATTGGCTAATTCAACGGATTCAGAAAAGTTTAATTTTTATCTGCGTATGCGTATACACAATCTCATCGGGGAAGGAATTGCTCCGACAGAGGGTCAAAATTGTTAAGATAAGAAACAAGCACAGGTTAATGCTCCCAATTCATTTTTACATGCATACAAATGTAAGTTATGCAAATGGTCGTATCGAGCATGCCTAGGTAAAGTAAGAGTAATCAGTGAAAAGATTTCATCGTGGAGTTCAAGTTCGCATCGGATTGGGCCTGGGTCTGCTAATTTCACTCACGGAGCTACTTATTTCACTCTCCAAGTACGGGTAAAATTTAGTTTTGCTAAAAAAGAATTTACTCAGGAAATATGACATTCTTTCTTTGTGAAATCAAACCCTTTTTTTTCCACTGTGCATCCATAGTAAAAAGTATTTTTTCATAAAAGCTCTGACGCCTTCCTAAACCAAATTGAAACCAAAATGAACATGTATAGGTACTCGCACCGGTTTCATTATTGATCTATGCTGCCATGGCAAGGAAAAATGCCGTATGATTAGAGAGTTGCCAGACCTCCGATAAAATTTTTATTTTTAAGGAAATTTATGAATATTTTTCCTTGAAATTTTCAGGAACTTCAAGTGAAATTGCAAATGAAATTATCCAAAAAATTGGTAGGAAGATAACCATAAGTTTTCTCGAAAATTCGTGTTTTATGAAATGAAATTTGGTAACGCTTGAAGGTTCATACGGCGCCACAGTGCAATTTCCAATGGAAATAAGTCAAATTTTCGAACATATAAAATGAAAAAAGTAATGAGATTTACGAAAAATGGGGACATTGGTGGTATTATTTTCAATGTTTTTTTACTGATTTGCATTGAATTGGCGTGAGGGGAGGTGATGAGATTTAACTGATTTAAGCTCCGCGCGCGGTGACCGGTAGCCGATGACGCGCAAGTGTTGTGATAGCAGTGATCAAGGCTGATTGACACGGTACCAAATGTCCGGTTGGTGGTAACAATGGCTAAAAACACTCCTGGTAAGTTATTTAATTAAGATTTTATCATAAAAATTATTTTGTCAACTTCTAAACATTACTTTTAAGCACGTTTTTCGATGGTACTCTAATTTAATATTCTTCCCTCTTACTTAAATTTTAAAGACGTTTTTAAGAAAAACCTAAAAATACCTTTTTTCCTGACAAGTGATAATGATTGCAAATTTCTGTAGATTCTGAATTTTAAAGTCCCATCTGCGTCTGGCTGCGAATAATAAAATTATATCGTTTTTTCTGTCTCAAGGTTTTGCTCTGAAAAACTCTGATCTCTTCGACTTATGGACACGGGCATCGAGAAAGGAGTGAGTTACAACAATTGAGGAGAAACTCCGAGAACTATTCGCAAACAAACGTGTCTCAGACAAAAATTGGACAAAATGTCATGTATTTTTTAAGAATTTTTCGTTTTTATCTTTCTTTTTTCTCTTGTCTCTTGTGAAGATTAATTTTGCTGTAAATTTTCGGTGATATTTTACTGTGCTGAATTTTTTATTTTTTGAAATGCCTTTTCCTTTTTATTAAAGATTTGTAATATGACCAAATCCAAGTGTTCGTCCTTTATCTCCTGCTGATCCTCGGAAACCTCATTATTTTATAGTGTATATTTGAATTTTCAGCTTTCATTTTACGCGCAGCATTGAAATTCGGAATTAAAGAAAGGATAGACCTTAGCCTTGTTAGGCCCAGAGTTAAAAAATAAAATATGCATTATTAGTATCTGTTCGTATACAGTCGATTTTTGGAGCGAGCTTGCGTGAATCTATACATTTTAATCCTTGAATTTTTGCTAAAAAAACTGATTTTTCCAGGCGCATTGGCAACACTGTGTTTAAAATGGAGGTGTTATGAGAGGGCCAGATACCCTCGTAAGCCTTATTAGTTGTGATTTCAGGTTGGTTTTCTCTCTTTTCCCCGCAAAAATAATGTACTCATGTCATTAAACTAAGTGGGAAAATAACGGCACATTTGGCAAAATTTGGCAACACTATATTCAATCATTTGGGAAATTTTGGAAACTTTGACTTTAATACAAGCACACGACAAGGTACACGATGAATACTTAACACTGTTAAAATTTCATTGAATTCCATGCATTATTCAATCAGATATGACTTATTTCCCATCCGCCCATAAGGACACTGCACTGTGGCGGCGTTTTTCCTTAGCACGGCAGTATGGCGCAAACGCTGCTCATCCTCATGGTCTGCACTCTGCAGCATACTAACAAGTTTATTACAAGAGTATGCCACCTAAGAGTTCTGTGTAAAATCATTTTTTTTTTAAACTCTTCATAAATCTTTTAATACGAGTTTTAAGGATATGAGTAGCTTTGTGTATTGTTTTTAAAACATGCTTATTGATGCTTACATTACTCATCTCTGTTTAGATGCTTCAAATATTTCTGAACGTCTTTTGTTTATAATTTTTTCCCGCACGCATTATATTTTGGAAAGTTGAAGATAAATTCAATTTTTAATTTAGAAAATTGTAGTAACATTTAATGCAATTTTTACGAACAGATCGTGGTCCGATACACAAGTCATTTAGACAATAAATGGTGATTTTTCACTGAATCGCACACTGTTTCAATTATATACTAAATATCTCGGACGGGGCAAAATCATTAACTCTATGTAACAAAATTTTCTTGATTAGTGCATCAGTGATACATGTACCTACAAAGTTGATCGGTTTAAATGTTTACATTTTATGAAGTTCGGCTGTAGAATGAAAAACGTGGCAAATTATCTCTTTCTTAATTGCTATTCCGCAGTTGCATTAATGTTGGAAAATTTTTCCTAAATTGGATTGGACTACATTTTGCAATTCGAAACTAAAATGTCTGGCTCCGTTTCGTCACAACGTATGTGCCATTACCTTCCCTACGTATATAAGTGTTTTTACAGATGAGTCAGAAATTGTAGCTCCTAATTGTAAAATAAAGTCCAATTGTACAAAGCTTGTTATCTCTAAAGCCATTGCGCTACTCGGAGGTATTAGCTTTTTTGATAATACGTTTTTTCATGAAATGCAAACACATAATTGACGAAAAGCTGTGAGAAGATTAAAAACTTACCCCCCCCCATTCAAGCACACCCTATAGTACTTCCTATAACTAAATTCATTGTGAATATGTGACCTAATTTCCACGCGTGGTCCTCTTTTTCAGCACAATATATTTCAGCGCAGTAAGGATTTAGATATCTCTTGTTTAAGCGGAAAATGATTATCCGCAACCTGCTTATGGTTCTACACCTCTGTTTTTGTTCGGAGGCTTATAAAATCTTGGTATTTTATCCGTTTCCCACTTTGAGCCATCATCGTGGAATTCTCGCTTTGACCGAGAGGTTGGTCACTGATGGCCATGAACTCTATGTTGTCAGTCCATTTGGCATACCGGTATGTATTCAATTATTCAAGTTCTTACAATAAAAAAATGTTCTATTCAAAATTCTACGGATTTTAAGTCAACTGGAATCCCTTAAGAAAAAAAACCTTGAAGCATCTACATTTCGACGGTGCAAGTCGGCAATCACATAACTCGATTGCGGTGTCTGAAAATCTCCGCAACTATGTTATTTTTTTGAAGGAGAACAAATGGACATGATTTCTTGAAGTTTTTTCAGAATTTTCCTCGCACATAGAAGAAAAATCACTGAAGTTTTAAAGAATTACCGTTGAGTAGTTTTCCGTTTAAAAAATAAAGTATGACAGGAAGTCTGCGACGTCGCAAACCGAGTTATGTGATTGCCGACTTTCACCGTCGATTTACTTTTGAAAGCAGTCGAAATGAGCTATTATTCGAGCTGGACTTCTTATTCGAAAAATATCCGTAGAATCCACTATTTCAGCGGCAAAAAAGCCGCGACGAATAACGAGATAATAATAAGAAACGGAGGATCGATAATATTGATAATCGACAATCCGAGAATCTATAATCGACAATCCGAGAATCGATGATCGACTGTATTTAAAAGTATCACTTATGATAAATACCTCTCCACGTTTCCAATTAAATCGATTACAAGTGAGGAAAATGAAATTTTACTTGTTCTTTTCCAAAATGTAAGACCAAATCAAATCGACAATTGAAACAGCACGCCTCATTATGAGAGTGAAATCAGGTTTCTAATTGAAGTTACTTTGAAAAAGCCCTTTCACTATCTAATCTAGACATGCGCAAAGAGTGAAAGTTGAAAAAAAGAAGAAAAAAAATCATGAGCCCTGGCATTGGTTGATGATAAAGATGAACATGACTCATGGGGTTTGAGCCTTTTACGTATTACGATACTTTTTTTTATTAAAAAAAATAAATTGAACATTCTGAAAAATGTGCCCAAAAAATCACGAGCCACGCTGAAGTCATGATAAACAATGGATGCTAGGTCTCGTTTAAATTTTTTTCCATTTGAAATACCTCGCTTTAACGGACAAGTAGAAAAGTTAAGTGAAATGATACTACAAAATGTGATTTCTCATCAGTATTTCTTGCAAATTATGATAAATCTGCTTTAAACTTTCAAAATTTTCCTCTCAGAGTTACATTAACCTTTTACTCTTACTCCAGAATCGAAAAATCTGGGAGAATTGAAACATCATTTGATGTGAAGCCAAAATTCAAGTGATCCATTGAAGGTTCTATTCTTGCAGGGATTGAAAAATCACGAAAACTACACTTTCGTGGATCTCTTACCCTCGTATACTCTGAATAAAACTAGAGATGAGGCTGAAATCATCGATATTTTACAGCAGCGTATTTCTAAATGGGAAATGATGTCGATTTTAAAAGACTATCCTTCACTTCCGCAGAAGGCATTGTTGAGCGACACGTATCTGCAATTCAAACGGTAAGTGACCACATACCGACTTGATCGAAAGGTTATTAGGCTGAATAAAAGTCTACGCTCAATTTTAAGAATGACCCAACGCTGAACATTTTTAGAATTCATTTTTGACTTACAAGTAAACATTTCCATGCCTATAGTTACTTTCCATACTTTTTCCTTGGTTTTACCTTTTACATAAGAATCCTCCAATATTCATATTTCCTCAAATTTCTGGGCTAACACGTGTGGTGATCCAGAATTGCGCGAAAAGTCTAAGAAAATATATGAGGATTGCGCGAATAGAAACCTTAACATCTGCAATAGGAATGTGCGATTTTAAAATGAAGATAATTTAAGATAGAAGATTAGCAAAACAGGCAACAGTTGGAAAAATAAACGTATTTTTATGCTAACGCTAGTTTAGGTTAGTTTGTTGACAAGTCATCGATGTCTTACCTTCTGAAAGATGATAAATGAAGTGAAAAGATTGAATAATGGACGTGGGTATAAACACACTTACATACACTGACTTATACATTTTCTTAGAGTAAAATATTTAATCGGGAGAAACGAAGTAACATTGGAATGCTCATAAGTCGTCAAAAGACAGCATGGGCCTTTTAAGCTCTATTATTTGATGCCGCGATTATTCTACCACGAGTTCGAATAATCGCGCCAATCACAGTGCGGCCGGCGTTAAACGTTAATTAGCGCCTGCAAGACTGTAGGAATACTTCACGCATTGCGCCAAACAGAGCGGTAAGCGCACAGCCCATTTTAGCGCCTACAAGACTGCATGGATACTTCTCGCATTGCGCCAAATGCAGTGCAGTCGGTCAGTTGGCGTGATACGCATATTAGCGCCTACAAGACTGTAGGACTGCGTGTTATCATTCTTGACTTGCTGCTCCGCTGCTTCATTTTTACTTTTTTGCACTTTCTTCTTTCAGAGTCGACTCTCTTTCGAACTAAATGATGCAACTTTGCATGTTTTTTTTCAGACATGTGGAGTCGGAGAGTATTAAATTCGATCTCGTCATTGCAGAGATGCTTTTCTTTTCGTACGCATGCGCAATAACCCGAGATTTTCCCGGTTCAGCGCCACTTATTTCCATGTCCTCTATTACGTCAGACGTGGCGGAGGATAGCCTCGGGAGTATCAAGCACTATTCGTTTTTCCCGTTAGTGGTTAGCCAGAATACGGATAGAATGAACTTATGGCAGAGGTTAGAAAACTGGATCGCAGGCGTATTTTTTATGTCATGGTACATTAATAAATTGGATGCCGCGGTCCGAGTGTACCTCAATGAGCTCTACGGGCCAGGAAGTGAGGACACGATAGGAGACTGCTGGTCCAGGAATAGTCTCTCCTTGATTGCGTCAAATTCGTTGTACTCTTATCCTAGACTTCTCGGTCCCAACGTCATTGAAGTTGGTCCTCTGCATCTTAAAACCCCTGAAAAACTACCACAGGTAATGTTTTAAGAATTTATTCAAGTCGATACAGTTAACCTTAAAATTAAAGGAGTTTGGCACTGGTAGTACCGTACTGCATTCCAACTAAATTTAAATTACCCGCGACTTCATGTCGATCTCGACCGATAAGTTTCAGGCTTATTCATTTCAATGTTTTGACAGAATCACTCAAGTACAAATTCCGGCTCCAGGAGCCGTAATTACGGGCTATACAGCACTACTGTGCGTTGCGGGTGAGGAGACCGTAAGTCCCGCATTAAGGAGCCAGAGTATCGGCCTCTGAGCCGGGAGCTCTTTTTGCTACGGGCTTAGAGGCCGTCGCTCCGGCTCCTGAATGCGGAACTTACGGTCTCCTCACCCGCAACACACGGTAGTGCTATATAGTTCGCAATTACGGCTGCTGAAGCCGGAGTTTTTTTTGTCAGTGATAATATTTCACCCATGATCCCAAGCTTTTTTGCCGGTTGAATACCTAAACGTATTTCTGCCAAACGGACCTATGTGCATTGAGACATGAGCCCTGAGACCCATTAGAATATATGCATAACAGGACTCACGCCATAATGCACATAGTTCCGTTTGGCAGAATTACGTCCAACTTATCTTGAATTTACCACTAAAAGGTTGTTGTGACAACCTTCTTTGATCTCTTTGCACTGAAAACGACTTGCAGTGTGAATCCATATGATTAAATTCATAGCATGTGATTAAATGACTGACCGACTCATGTCTGTTTGTCTTAAAAATCTGATTTTTGCGCGTCTTTAGTACATTTTCCATTTAGACGGAAATCAGGGGCCGTCTTTTAATTACGCTCGCACTTTACAATTTTTGCATGCACATTTCTGGAATAAAATCTTGGATCTTGAATCTTGTGGTCCGACTATTCTCATTACTTTTTTCAATACACGCTATTTTGAAGTACAGAAGTAGGAACACTTGTTCCAGAACCTACAAGATTGGCTAGATGGAGCAGAGAAGGGCGTGATTTATTTCAGCATGGGTTGTACTAAGAAAGGCAAATCATTGCCTGCTGAAATACGAGACAACTTCCTGAAAGTGTTCAAAGAGCTCCCACCCGGATATCGAGTACTGTGGAAATGGGAGCTGGATGGCAAAATCCCTGGACAGTCGGATAATATCCTGCCTCAGAAGTGGCTGCCACAAATGAGTGTGCTGGGTAATAGTAAAATAATTTAATTGGCTCTATTGTGACGGCGGTTTGGGAGAATTTGATAAGTGGATCCTGGTATGGTGGCCCTAACCCGCTGAGAAATTCCCAATGAAACCCTACGAGCCAACGAGTCCCCGGTCCCCACTGATAATTCGTGATGGGTCCCATTGGGTCCCCATAGGTTCCTATCGAATGTGATGAACCATGCTATTGATCCCCATTGGGATTTCGTGAATCCCATTAGGTGCCCATTAGAACCTGATGGGTCCTCATTGGGATCCAATGGGCTCCTGTAGGACCGTTTTACCTGGGGACGTATTTCTGCCGAACGGAACCAGAGGTAGGTGGATAATAAGGAGTGTAATTTAAAGTTGAACTTATTTTTATCGGGCTGCATTATGTTGATGAAATTACCTTTCTCCCGATCACTTTTTATCCGGTTTTCAGACGATAGCTATTTCGATGTTAATCATCATCATCAGGTCACTTCGACTTCGACTTCGGTAAACACTAACAGTCACATCTTATATTGTTAAAATTTACTAAAATTTACTACAATTTACCATAAAACACTTTAAAAAACTCGTGGGTGCACCCGTCGCGAACGCGTTCCGAAGTCGAAGTCGAAGTGACCTGATGATGATGATTACCATCGAAATAGCTATCGTCTGAAAACCGGATAAAAAGTGATCGGGAGATAGGTAATTTCATCAATAAGGAGTGTGATCGTTAGTTGAGGACCGTAAGAATGAATGGGAATTATAAAGCGCCAGTGACGTCAGCGGCAACGAAACCGTATTCGTTGTCGTCCTTGCTTGGCTTTAACTCATGAGCCCTGTCCTCAACGCTGTTTTCCCATGCCCACGGCTCATGAATGCCGCATTCAGTTGGCTCATACTTCCGTTTGACAGAATGTAAAATTGACCCGCTTTTCCATTTCTTCAAGAGGAATCACGCCCACTTTAACATTGTTTCTGATCCAGCTTTCTAGAGCATACTCCCTCTTTCCCACTCGTCAATTAATAGTTCCGTTTGGCAGAAATACGTCCAAATAATCTTAGAACCAGAACAACATATTTGATGAAATATATGTATTGAACATATCGACGGTGTAAGTCGGCAATCACATAACTCGGTTTGCAACGTCGCAGACTTCCTGCCATACTTTATTTTTTAAACCGATAACTACACAACGGCAATTCTTCAAAACTGCCTTGATTTTTCTTCTCTATGCGAAGAAAATTCTGCAAAAACTTCAAGGAATGATGTCAATTTGTTCTCATTTAAAAAAATAACATGGAGGCGGAGATTTTCAGACACCGCAAACGAGTTATGTGACTTACACCGTCGATATGTGTTTCTTATTAATCATTTTAAATTTAGGTCAACACCGAAAAAAATGGTATGCTGTTATGGCACCTAGGATGTCAAAAATGTGTCTGGTCATCCTAAGATGCTACCTTGATTGCCCACGCAGTTGAATTTGCATTCGTAGGATGTAAAGTTAACTGCGAGGGCCGTAAAGGCAGCATTTTGGGATCACCGGACACATTTTTGACATCCTAGGTGCTAAAACAGCATACTATTTTTTCAGTGTAGAGAAGGAAGTAAACATCTCTTTGAACACCTTTCGTAGCATCACATACAGGACAACTCATACGAACTTCTCTTTGTTTACATTTTTTACACATGTCTTCATAGTGGTTATCCAAAGGTATCATGTATCCGTCTTTGAAGCATAAAAAAGGAACCGAAAAATGCAATTGATTTGCCAAAAAGGTAACTTTTTTACAATATCACGATTGGACTACATTTTGCAATTTTAGGAACTACAATTCTGGCTCAGGCTCATCTGTAAAACCACTTGTGTGTATATGGAAATTAATGGCACTTACTTTGTCTGTGCGCAGCATGGTATTCTGCTCACTATTTTTTTACGTTCTCTTTATGCTTTTAGGGGGAAAAAACAAGATATGCAGTTCACATGAGGATTTCTCCGTTATATTATGGAAAATTTTGGTTGCACGATCATCGTTAGAAAACTTCAAACCAAGATTAATACCTATCAGTAAAACAATATATTTAGAAGACGCAACTGTGTAGAATGTGACTGCATTTGAAAAAACAAATAACTCTTTTCTTTTACCCCTTACAGCCCACCCAAAATTGAAAGTTTTCATCATGCAAGGAGGTCTTCAAAGCTTTCAAGAAGCAGTCCATTATGGCGTCCCTATTGTTGGGATCCCTTGGTCTGTAGATCAAGAAAGTAGTGTTGCCAAAATAGTAGATGCGGGGATCGGAGTCCGTATAGAGGCTGCCGATCTTAACTCATTTGAGAAAATCAAATCAGCTCTTGAGGCTGTGTTACATGATAAGCGGTAAGCACTTGCTTTGATAGCTCTACTCAGTTTAAAACACAAAAAAAATGTAATTAGAACAAAGAGGGACATTATAAGACACGCAATGAGTACTTGCTCTGAATAGCCAGCGGTAATCTGTCAATTTGGTGGCGGTTTTAGGTTTGCACCACCAAAAACCTAGCTTCGAGAAAGGCTCTTTAAATTCACGCTGCGTCTGCCTTATTCAGGGCACAAGTGTTCCGGAATAAAATCGATTGCACGCCTTCTAATGGTACCCAACAAGACCAAACCTTTCGCAATTTACTATGTAGGGAACTGTCCAACATTTTCGAAATCTTAAACTCTCATTTTTCGACCCAGCTCGAGAAAAATCACCTCTCTAAAAAGGTTGCTTCTGAGAAAATATGTTCCTCCTCTCGTAGATGGTTGGAAAAATAATGCAGGTGAAACTGAAATCTTCGTATCTCGTTTGAGATGCGTTTTAAAATCTCAGTTTCTATTTTATTTCTTTTTGGAATGAAGAAATCATCATCGTTCCTTTAAGTTTTCACAGAATTCTTTCCGCACAAAGAGGAAAAATCACGCGGCAGTTTTTAGTTGCCGTTGAGTTGTTTTCATTGAAAAAATAAAGCACGGAAGGAAGTCCGCGTCGTCGCAATCCGAGATACGTGGTTTGGGAGTTTCACCATTGATATAAAATGTTCTGGCGAAAAAGGCTTTAAGAAATGTATTCAAGTATCCGAATATCAAATATATGTATAACTGGATTTTTTCAGATATTCCAACAACATGAAGAAACTTTCAGCCATATCCCATGATTTTACTTCTCGAGGCTTGGACCAGGCGGTATTCTGGGTAGAACACGTAGCCAGACATGGTGGGGCATCTCACTTGCGACCAGCTACTGCCGACACAACTCTTTTCGAGTTTTTCTGTTTGGACATCATTTCTCTGATCGTAGTTTTATGTTTTCTTATTTTGTACTTAGCCTGGTCTTTGGGGAAATTCCTTCGTTCAATGTTTGGAGTCTTTAGAAAAGCTAATCCTAAATTAAAATCATCCTAAAATTTATGTAGTTTTGTTCATTGCCTTGACAATTAAATGATTTCGCCTCGACGCAACGGAGTATTAATCCCATCTTTTATCAAATTATTTCACCACCAACTGATTTTTTTTTTTTTTTTTTTTT